GTCTCTGGCTAACCAGTCATCTTCTGGGGCCATACAGGGAAATGTAAAGTTGGTAAGTGAGAGAGAAGCAATATTGTTTGAAAAGGTTAGCTTTTTACTTCTTTGCAGATTTATGGCCTGTGGCTTCTATGCCCAGCATTTGTCTTGAGGTATCTTTACCACTTGGAAGAATTACGATACTCAGTGATTTTCGATATGAGGCACGAATTCTACTAAAGGGTTGTAATTAGGAAGGAAGAAGAAAAGCTGTAGAAGTAGTAGACAGAAGAAAACATGGGAAGATTGATTATTTCTTTGACATATCTTCTTGTAGAGTAACATAAGCATGTATAGGTTTTAAACTACTAATTAAATTGTGCACTGTGTGAGGATTCTTGAATTTAAATTTAGACTAGTCAGATTGCCTTCTGCCCTTAATGGTTTCTAGAAAAAGGATGTGCTTTTGAGGTATACTCTTTTACTTAACTTCTTGGCCATTCTGCTTTTGAATAAGTAATCATCAAAATAATTAAAATGTCACACTCACAGAACAGAACAGTGCCTGCTTGCATAGGGAGTCAGACTGGCAGCCATCTAAACATAGGAGTTGTCAGCTGCACCTGGTTCACATCAGCTCATGAAAGCTCTTCTAAAGCATATATCTTCCTCACTTGTTAATTGTCTCAAAAACCTCAGGCTTTCTTATATCCTTTGCTCCTGTCCTCTTTCTGAATCCATTTTTCATTCTCACATTATAAATCCAGCTGACCTTTCCGTCTCCTTCAGTCCTTGACCCCACTTCACCATGTTATTCTTGTCCTGGTACCAGAAGCCCAACTACAGCAAATGGGTAGACCTCTTAGCAGGTCAGGGAGAGGACAGGAGACCATCCAGCCTTGTATGTCAATGTCACCCTCACAGTCACGTCCATGAGACAAGGTGACAGGGGATAAATGGTTAAGCACATGCACGTATGAGTCAGGGCCTGGGTTTAGATCCCTACTCAGCCAGGGGTCTAAAGGGATAATCCTCATTTCCTTGGTGACTTGAGCTAATTATTTAAGTGAGGTGCTTCTCTGATGTGCACAATCATACGTGCCTTGCAGAGTCTGGCACAGTGCCTGGTACACAGCATTCCTAAATGGTAGGGTCCTTCTTGGGGAGGTGGCTGTTGACCACACTCTCACTGTAGGGCAGCCCAGGTGAGCAGAGGTAAGACGGGTGGGTGAGAGGCTCCCCTCCCCGTGAGAGAAGCTGGTGGGTCTGCAGGGCCAGATGCAGTTGGCCCAGAGAGCTCCTCAGCAGACGTCACCACTGGGCACCTGAAATGCTTTCTTTTGCTCTCTCTATGAATGTGACCCATTTGATAAGCAGTTGGTTTGTCTCTTTGCATGCATTTTGAAAATTTTTATTTAAAAATTATGACTGAAAAATCACCTCGCTTCCAGGGAGCCTATGGGGAAGCAAAGAAAGGGAAGGGAACCATGGGGAGAAATGCAAAAGCACTTTCTGGGGTGGGTGGGGGGTTCCTGGGGAAACCAGGAGCTTCTGGCTCTGCTGCTGCCCCAAGGACACCCCACACTAATTTCTGCTGCTGCATCATGATTGGGCGGATCAACACAGCCCCCGGCCAGCAGCTGTGCCTGGAAGGGTGAAGTTAATTTTCTTCCTTCTCTCTATAACCTCTAGCTCTTATTAACTTTATTTTATGTGCTCATTAAATGCAGTCAGGTAATGGACTGTGTTCAAGGTAGAAAGAGTGGTCTGGCAGGCTTCTAGATCCTTTTATAGTTTTGAGACCATAAAATGGGAAATAACTGAATAATTTCATCACTGTGA